AAAACTGGCTGATCTTTAGGGAGGGAACAGTTTGTGTTGGCAGAATTTACTGCTGGACTATAGTGTCTTCTGTTTGGAAGAAGTCAGAAGATACAGAGGACCTTATATTCAAATCTATCCTGTATGGCTTGATCTAGCCACATTACTTTAGTATATCACATTTTTCTTCTTTTTATTTTAAGATTCCAAGTATGGCAGGCAGTTGTTCCATTCTAGCAATCCACTGGCAGCTGGGTGGGGTGGCTGGCCATTTTATTAAGTCCTTTATCTGTATTTTCCTTGATCCATTAATCTCTTCTGTAGATTGATGTTAGTTTCAGGGTGTACATCCTTCCCCTTTCTTCCAATTATCTCTCTTTTAGTTGAGTTTCTCTGAATGAAGATCCTCCTGTATTCAGCCATGTTGTCTCCACAGAAATCTGAGCCATCAGTTTTGAACATGGCTGTCACATCCAGTCTCCAGATCCTGTTGCTGACACCTGTGCCCCTAGCAAGGCAATCGTGCTTGCTCACTCCTCTTCAGGCAGGGACAATGGCAGGGCGGCTCCATGAAGCCTCCTAACCCTGCATACCATGTTTACCTCACCCACTGTCCCTTTCCTCTTCTGGCTTCTCGTGAAAACAGCTTCATGTGTCTCTGGGAGGCATCACTTGCATCCAAAGTACCCTTCAGCACAGTCTGAGGGGGGTTTCTTCTTTCCAATATGTTCCAGTGACAGGTTATTGATACGGATGGGTTCTGATGCGTCCTCTAAAGATTGACTCTCATAACACCAGCAATCCACTCAACTTGTTCTCTTTAGGTTTCTCCTTAAGTCCTTTCCTAAGCCTCTATTTTAAGTTCCAAAGTTGGTGATTCCCAGCTTTTATCAATGGTCTCCAGTTTTTATATTTCCAAGCAACAGGTGTGTTGTGCATGCAGTGAACCCAAGCATGCTCTGTGTCATGGACTGCACCCTGGCCCTCTAACAATTTGTTCTTCATTGTGGATGCCATTCAAGTTGATTCAAGGACTTAGTTGTTTTCCATGAGGTTGCATTTACAAAAATGTGATGTCTTTTTCCTAGAAGGGTAGACATACCTGTGGCAAGGTTGTCCCTACTTGTGTGCAGCTATCTCTTAACAGAACACAACTACACTAACACCATTACCTTGCTCAACAGTCTTTAGGGGCTGGGGGCTGGTCCCAGGTCCCCTGCACTGCTTCCCCATCTGGTACCATGTATCTACCCAGTCACTTTCATCAGCCAACTCTGCATGGCCCTGAAGCCACTTCAACATCCCTCCTGCAGTAGGGACCTGCTGACACAGCAATCCAAGGAGAAAATAAAGACTGTGCAGCAGGCAGCTTCAGGGTAGGAGGGATAGGGGACAAACAGCAGGCCGGCCAATGTGATTTCATCTTAATTTTAATTTTTTTTGAGACAGTGTCTCACAATGTAGACTGGGGTAGCCTTGAACAGACTATGTGGTCCTTTCCTATTTCTTTCATCCAGATTTGCTCTGAGAAAGCTCCACCCCACAAGCTCAGCTGCTGCCTTAAAACCAAAAGACTCTATTGCTCCCAAGTGTATTTTTAAGCTGCTTTTCAAAAAAAAAGCCCATCTTAGGCCATCAACTATGCTTAAGTAAATACAAAAAATTAAAACAACTCCCTGCATATAATAGTAGAATCAAGGTAGGAATCAATAGGAAAAGAAGCCATAGAAACTACTCAGACACATCAAGATTAAATAATATGGAATAGTCAATGGATCACAGAAGAAATCAGGGAAGAAACAGAAAAAGTTCCCAGAATCAAATGACAATGGAAACACAACACACCAAACCTCTGGGACACAATAAAAGCAGTTCTAAGATGGGAAATTGGCACTGTAAAGGCACACATAAAAACAACAGCCAATCCCAAATAAATAACCTTTTGAACTCCTTTTATATTTCTCTCCCATTATTTTTGGGTACCTATAGAGTCCTCACTTTACCAAGTCCATGTCATCATTATCCCCTCTGACTGTCTTTGTTTGTTTGAACTTCACACATAGGGAAAGGGTGAGTCTCAGGATTGGCTTTGTCTCACCGCCAGAGGGGTTCCAAAATTTACATATGGGGCTTATAAATGTAACATCTTGTGGGTCACGTGGGAGATGCAGTGAGGCCAGCTCAGCTCACTGAAGGTGAAGAGAGTCCACTCGGGGGCACACAATGGTATAATTACAAAGGTGCTCCCCCAGTCCATCAGAGCTCTTATCTCTTATAGTCCTTCTAAGATGGGCAAAAGTGGGGGAGGCCTCCCAAACATGATCTCAAATGGAGTGAGCCCATCCTGGTATGGGGTGCATCAGGACCTCAGCAAGGCCATCGGAAACCTTGTCACCCACTTTGCCCCAGTCTCTTGGCACAGCTTGGCTAGTGTAGACTTTGTAGTCTGATTTTGTCTACCTGGCCAGAACTCTGTGGCCCGTAGGTGGTGTGTGGCTTCCATTTTAGCCCTAAGGCTGTGGAAAGGCTCTGAACCACTCAACCCACAAAAGCAGGCCCACTATCTGAACCCACCCTCCTGGGGAGCCCATATCGAGGAATAACTAGCTCCACCAGATTTTTATCACCTCTCTGGATGTCTCAGTTCTTGTGGGAATGGCCTCCACCCAGCCCAAATAGGTGCAAATGAGGACCAACAAATACTTCTTGTTTCCAAGGGTGGGTTTGATTTCTGTGAAATCCACCTCAGCATCCTCAAAGGGCAGTGTGTTTTGTATGCAGGCTCCAGGCAGTTGCTGTGGGTGAGAAACTGGACTGTTGTGAGCACAAGCCCTGCATCTGCTTTGCCACAGAAGCACAGAGTCCAAAGTCTAGAGATGAAGAAGTGATGGCCAAGCAGCTCAGCCACGGCTGTCTTTTCCAAGTGAGTATGGCTATGCAGCTCCTGGATCACAAAACATCTTACAGACTCAGGAAGGAACATCTCTACTCCTGGCAAAACTTGACATCCATTTTGCTCTATAGCTTCTTTTGTAGTGGTCCATTTAAGTTCTGCTTCTGCATGTTTGGGTGGCTTGAGGAGTGGGGCCACTAGAGTCCAGGCCACAGGACAAGAGTCTCCAATGGCAGCTTGTTTGGCTGCTAAATTAGCTGCTCAGTTTCCTTGGGTCTCTAAGAAATTTTCTTTCTGATGGCCCGGACAATGAATCACAGCTACCTGGGCAGACAACAACCGCAGCCTGCAACAAGTTTAATATTTCCTGAGAGTTTTTAATGTCCTTTCCCCCCATAGTCAGTTCGGCGTACCTGTTCCTATTTCCAAAGCCCAAGTAAGTGCCACCAGTTCAGCCTCTGCTACTAACATTCCAGGAGGCAAAGCCTTGGACCAGACAGTCTGCACAAGGATGACAACTATTGTTCCTGCCCCGCAAACCCCATCGATTACCATGTCACTGCCGTCAAGTCAGGGTTCTGGAGGAGTGCGTCCTGTAGGTCCGGTCTGGCTGAGCAGATTGCCTCAATTGTTTTCATATAGTTGTGCTTGGGTGGTTTCAGTGATGTTGGTAAAAGGGAGGCAGGGTTGAGGGCCATCAGATCCCCTTAGTGAAGTACATTTTCATTCTCTCCTCTGGGTCCTCTCATTCAAATGTGAACAACTCTTGGGATGTAACAGACAAAGGAATACAGAAAAACATCTTTTAAATCCAACACTGTATACCAAGTTTGAGTAGGTGGGCGTTGACTAAGCAAGGTATAGGGGTTAGGTACAGTAGGGTGAAGGGTTACAACCAGGGCATTTATTGCCTGCAAGTCCTGGAGTGGGTGATATCCATTTGTCCCAGGCTTGGCAACAGGAAAAAAGGAGTGTTTTAAGGAGACTAACATTTTCTTGGAGGGCTAGGGCCATCTTGGTTACCCCTTTAGCCCATCATCTTTTTAATTTTTGGTCTCCAAACCTCAGTTGCTGAACATCCAGATGAGCCTTGAAATATAAAGTGCAGCCAGAGAACTGCTACTTTTCACCAAGCATGAATATTCTAGCAGGTGAATCCCTATAGAATGCTAACAGACAGCAATCATACAGTTCTACAGAGAAAATTTAAATGTAGTATTGTAACATAACAGTCATGATGACATTTTTGTAACATATTTAAATCTCCATCTTGGAATAGAATAGTTTTCTAGTCAATAATCCCTACTTAACACAGAAGAAGCTTTTACCTAATTTTTTGTCCTTATGTCACTGAAGAAATTTGTAACATTGTCTGGGATGTTATTAATTTTATCAGTTTACATAACTGGTTGATTTTGCCTGGACACACTATGTGTTCCTTTCAAGTAGGGATGTTTCATAACTTTAAATTCCCAATAGAGTGTGTGACCACATTTCTGCTTATGTAAGTGCTTCTGAATATGTGATCAGTTAAGTTCTCAGAAAGAAAAAGATAGCCCAGGAAGTACCAGTAAAGGTCAGTTCATTCAATACATCATTTCTACAGATAAACATAGAAGGCCTAGAGAAGGAAGTAAAATTATTTGTGTCATACCACAAAAATTTGGCACTACGAAAGTCCACATATCATGTGTCCACGTGCAACTTAACTAAAGAGAAATATAAAGATATCAGGACAATGGCTAAAAAAATAGACAAATCAATTCTGGTAATAAATGAAGTGACACAATGCCAAACTTATATAATACCCATAGCCAAGTAGGATCTATATAGCTTCAATTTTTACAGAACTTTTCCATTGTAAGAAGCTTATCTAAACACAGCCATACCCCTAATAAGCACTATCTACATTAACCATACAATGGTAGTATTATTTTCAACA